CGTGTTGCGCGCGTAGTTACCCCCCTCCCCCCCCCACACCCCCTTGCCACCCAAATCCCAAAAGTGGCACGCCTTCCACGGCGGCGAAAAGCTCGAAGGCCGCAGACAACAGGCATGTCTATCCCTTTGCATGAAATACTGACAGTAACGAGGATGGTCCTGTTCATAGAAGTACTACGTCATGATGGCTTCAGTACTCGTATACGTGCCATTATCAAAAGGACAACAGCAATCATCGCTTCCGTGATTCAAACATCCTACAACATATTTTTGATGTACTACAATATACTACAACATAGTACGATACTATAGTATATTTGAGTATGCTATAATATATTATAACAAACTACTATATATACAGATATATATATATATATTACAATATATTATAATGTATTATAGTAGACTATAACCTACTATAACAAATTTTAATAGACCATTAAGTATACTATAATGGAGTAAAATAGATTATAATAGACATGGCATCAATGCTCAGGACCGAGATGCCAATGGGACTTCAGGCTGCGAGTGTCAGACCCTCAGAAACACATGGTCCGGAAGGGATGCTACGAGTCATATCCGAGAAGGCTGTTTTATTATTGTTATCATAATTCTTAGTATTAGTATTATTATCATTGTTAGTATTATCAGGCTTATTCTGTTTTTTACCACCAGCAAATGGCCGCCCTGTTTGGGTGAGGAAGGGTGAGATATGCAGATGATGGGCGCACCTGCGTACAGCGGAGGTTGAGCAGCTGCGGCAGCATTGGGAGACTGTGCGGAAGGACAAAGGCAAGGCATGGCATGAGCCCAGCTATCTCAGGCTTACTGGTTCTTAGTAGCGGAGAAGGGAATAGGAACACAATCCACATATATATATATAACCCAATAGAATATTCAATTCCCTTCCTCTCGACTAACCCACAGTAAGTAGGATTGTTTTGAAGTGGGTTCACTTTTGCGTAGCTCTAAGTGCAGTCGGAGGCAGAGATGCCGCCATCTTGCAGTCGCCGGCCGTGTCATGCTGGCTTTGTTCTAGTATACGATAGTATATTATAGCATATTACACCATATTATAGTATATTATAGTACATTATAGGGAAATATAGTATACTATAGTACTTTATTGTCTTTATTGAATCCGTTGAATCCTGCCTTAGAGCACTGAGGATGCAGGCTTTCCAGTGCTTCGGTGCAGAAGTGTTGGATGCAGCCATCTCAGATTATTCAAAGAGTTTTGCCGTCTGCAACAGCCAGACACTAGCCATGTCGGACGACGAACTCCCCACCGGCGGCATGGGCATGGAGGGAATGGGCATGGACGACATGTCGGACGACGACATGGGCGACCTGCCATCGGAGCTTCCGGAGGGTGTCCAGAAGGAGGTGCTGACCCCGGCGCCCGATGGCAGCTGGAAGATGCCCAAGAGGGGCGACGAAGTCGTCGTGCACTACGTGGGCACCCTGCAGTCGGATGGCAGTGAGTTCGACTCCTCAAGGAGCCGGAACAAGCCGTTCACTTTTACTCTGGGCAGGGGCGAGGTCATCAAGGGCTGGGATCTTGGTGTCGCATCCATGAAGAAGGGCGAGGCCTCTTGTCCCTCCTTTCCCTCCTACTGCCTGCTATTGTTTATACTCTAGAGTCTAGCAGTGATCAGAACAGCGAATCATAGAACTTCAGTAAGGGATCGTTCCCAACATCTCGAATATAAAGCTCGTTGAGAACCGTCCAACAGCCCTGTGACCGCTTATACTTACGTAGGTGGCCTACATCATCCCATGGAAGCAAGAAGGACCCAGAATCTTAAGATCGACCATATCAATTTCCAGGAAAGATTGTTCCCCTCATATACCCCCAAACACTGAGATGCTTTATTGTAGGACTTCCCAGGAAAACCCCCCTATGTCTTGCCTGAAGATGCCAACCCTAAACCCCAAACCCTGAACCCTAAACCCTGAACCCTAGGGTTTAGGGTTTAGGGTTTAGGGAACCCTGAACCCTACACCCTATCCTTGGTAGGTGGCCAAATTCACGCTGGCCCCAGAGTTCGCCTACGGCGACGAGGGAAGTCCACCCAAGATCCCCGAGAAAGCCACGCTGGTCTTCGAGGTGGACAGGCTTCTGAAAGTCCGTTTTTTTTTTTTTTTTATTACGGGTTCAGGATTTAGGACTTTAGGGTTTAGGGTTTAGATTTTAGAGTCTAGGGTTTAGGGTTTAGAGTTTAGGGTTTAAGGGTTTAGGGTTTGGGGTTCAAGAAGGTGTGCAAGATGATGTCTGTTTCTTCTGGTAGACAGGGAATCTGAGTAACAAATCGCAAGTTCGGAACAAATCGCAAGTTTGGATCCCAGTGGTTCTTGCTGTGGCAAGCCCAGGTCGAGCTTATCAGCTGGGTGTCCAAGGACGACCTCTTCGGTGATGAGGGGGTGACTGAATTGTATAGAGAAGCTGAAAGCAACATGGATGACTGCATTGCAGTGGAGCATCATTGGTAAAGCAACCGTAAGCCCTATACTGTGTGTCATGAACAGCTGCTGTGGAGTTTAGATGATTAAGCCGGATCCTGCAATCTGCAAGCAATTTATGAGTACAATGTCCTTAGGAAGGTCCATTCTTGGGCGAGTTTCATGTAGTATATCACGCATAGAAATCTTAAGCCCTACCTACCAAATCTCAAACCTCAAACAATGAAGTCACAAGCCCCAAGCCATACATCCTAAATCCTACTTCCTAAGCCCCAAATCCACACCCGAAGGCATCAATCCTAAATCCTGCACCTTCAAACGGGAGCCGTAAATCCTCAGCCTAAAGTACCAAGCCCAAAACCCCATGTCTTCAAGTAAACCCTAAACTCTAAATAGTACTTTCCATTTTCTTTTATATTATTCCGATATGATATAACCCCTGTATAATCCCCATAGGACCCCTATATAAATCCCTATATAACCCCTGGGTCCCAAGCCTTTTAGCGGCCACTCAGGTGATCAAGACCCAGGTGACAGAGGGCTCAGGCTGGAGGACTCCTACCAGCGTTGCTGAGGTGGGCTATAAGGGTTTGGGGTTTTAGGGTTAGGGGTTTTCCAGTTTAGGGTTTAGGGTTTTAGAGTTTAGGGAATAAAGGTTTAGGGTTTAGGGGTTTGACATTTCAAGGTTTACGGTTCCAGGGGTGGGTTCAGGGCTTCGTGTCTTAGGGGTGTAGGGCTCTGCCCAAACTAAGTAAGAGATGACAGATATCAAAACCAAAAAAGAATCCATAAGTGGTTCTGTTTATATTCCGAAGATGAGAGACTTTCTATGTAGCCCCTTTGAATGGCAACCCACTACTCCAAACCGAAGGCTCAACCAAAAAGAGCACCAAAGTCCCACAGCTCTCGACCCGGGACCCTAAGTTTCAACCCAATTTAACCCCTTCATGGTAGTTTCCTTTAATAGGGGGACCCCAGCGTAGACCCAAAAATGCTGTAGTCCTGGTTAGGGGGACCCCCAAAAAAGGTACCCCTAATTTTGGGAAACCTTAAACCCCAATTGCTGCGCCACCTAAACTACCTATAGGTGCTGGTGTCCATCAAGGCAGAGGCAGGTGGTAGCGTTCTGGAGGAGTACACCGACCTGGAGTATCTTACCTGATGCCAAAGGGTTTAGAGTTTAGGGTTTACGGTTTAGGATTCTTGGGTTAAGTTTTTTGGGTGTGGTGTTCATGCTGCAGGGTGTACGGGTTTAGGAGGGAGTGAAGATTTGACAGGTAAGGGGAGTGCCTGTATAACATGGGGGTCATTATGTATTGCCTGCTGACTTCTGGAATCGGGGAAGAGAACATGGGTACAATTATTCCAGGGGTTCAGGGCCATGTATGGGGTTATATGAGCTATAGTCTAAACTCCTTAACGGGGGTTATATAGGGGATTCTGGAGGTGACTGTCTTAGGGGTTATTAAGGGGATACGGGGAGCTTAGACTACAGCTCATATGAGGATACTTATGGGTATAACTCCGATCCCCTATAATCCCTATATAACCCCATAATCCCTATGTATAGTAGTTTCCATTTTCTTTTCCATTATCCCTATATAACCCCAATATAACCCCAATATTAGCACCGTCAAGGTATGTCATGGGCTCTGACAAGCTGGGACCACTGGCGCAGGCCTGCGACAAGGCTCTGATGCAGATGACGCTGGGTCCTTGTTAGCAAGATCTTACGTCGCTTATTGTGATACCAAATTCCCAAACAAGTTTGGTACAATTGTCGCGTCTTTAACCCTTAGCTCCCCTAATCCCAAGCCCGAAAGCCTCGATCCCAAATTGCAGGAAGGTGGGCGAGGAGGTGCAGCTCAAGTGCAGCAAGGAGTACGCCCTCGGAGACCGCACGCCCGAGGGTGCTACTGTCACCATCAAACTGCAGCAGATCTACGAGACCAAGGACGTCTCCTTCGAGTCTGACAAGACAGTAATGAAGAAGCAGGTCATGGAGGGTGAGGGCTACGAGACACCCAAGGATGGAGGCAAGGTGACCTTGGCCGTAGATCTGGCCACAGATGGCTCCGCTCCCTTGCAGGGCTTTGCTGCCAAGACCCTGGAATTTGTGGCCGGCAACGGTGAGGTCTGCGATGCCCTGGAGTGTGCCGTGGCTCAGATGAAGAAGGGCGAGAAGGCCATCATTACCGTCACAAGACCAGCACTGGCAGCGGAGGCCCAGCTAGGCTTGGCTTCCTTGGAGAAAGTAGAAAAAGTCCAGCTGACCCTCCGACTGGAGGACTTCGAGAAGTCCAAGGAGGGAATTTCTCAAAATGTTCCCTTTTTATCACCCAATAAGGGGCCCCAATTACTGATCACCATGTGTAGGTGTAGGGTTCCGCAAACCCTCAAAACTAAATCCTAAATCCTAAGCTCTCTTTTTGTGAAAGTCCTAAGGACACCTGGAGTATGTCGGAGGATGAGAAGCTCGAGTTTGGAACCGCGCGGAAGGAAGTGGGGGCCGGCCTCTTCAAGTCTGGGCGCTTTGTGATGGCTCTGCAACGCTACAAAAAGGTGGGATTTTTTTATAAAGCTGCTTGGGTTCAGGGGTTTAGGGTTTAGGGTCTACTGCAGTACATTGGGTTGATATTACCGCCCCAGCCCAATATTGGAGAATCAAACATGGAAACCGGGGTGTCATAGGGGTTTATAAGGGTTGTAATGTAGGCGGAGTTTCTGTACATCACCCACTTTGGTGAGTTTCTGTACATGACCCACTTTGACAGGGTTTGGGCCTAGTCCTATAATCAGAAGCTCCACCTATGCTTCGATTCGTTCGGATTACTTTCATTTGGAGAGAGCAACCCTAAACCCTAAACCCCTAAACCCTAAATCCTAACCCCTAAACCCTAAACCCCTACCCCCTAAACCCTCATCCCTAACCCCTAAATCCTAAACTCACCCTAAACCCTAAACCCTAACCCCTAAACCCTAACCCCTAAACCCTAAACCCTCACCCCTAAACCCCCAAGGTGGCGGACATGTTCAACTATGTGGACAACTTCCAGGAGGAGAACAAAGCCAAAGCCAAGGAGCTGAAGAAGCTCTGCAACCTGAACAAGGCAGCCTGCTACCTGAAGATGGAAGAGTGCCTTGGAGATTAGGGTTTAGGGTTTGGGGTTTTAGGTTTAGGGTTCAGGGGCTGAAGGAGCTGGAGCTGAGAGAACAGTAGAAGGACACCAACCGTATTATGATAACTCAATGTAAGAACACCACATTGTAGAATCCTAGTTTCCATTGTATTTTCCGTTGATTTTTCCGTTTGATTCTCCATGATGGTATCCGACTGTAAGTTCCTTGAAGGGCAACACATTCTAAGCTCTGCACGCCAAAGCAGAACTTAAGTGCCTTAGCAGCAAGCTGAACTCTAAACTCTAGATCCTAAACCCTAAACCTCAAAGCCTACATCCCAAACCTTAAACCATAAATCCTCAACCCTAAACCTTACGTCCTAAACCCTAAACCTTAAATCCTATATACGAACCCCCTGAACCCCACGCCCAGGTTCTTTGAGGCCAAGGGTGCCTGCGACTCCGTGCTGAAGCTGGGTTGCTGTTAGGAACTTAGATTGAGTTACCATAATCAGCATATAGGGTTTCCCCAATATAGTAACTTAATCCCTAGACCCTAGACCCTGAACCCTAAACCTTAAACCTTATATTGCCTCAATATAGCTGAACTCTAAACCTTAAACCCTAAACCCTAAGCCCTAAAATAGCAACTTAAGTTCAGTTTCCTAACAACAACCCAGGAAGGAGGATTCTCAGAACCTCAAGGCAACCTTCCGGCGGGCCCAGGCGAAGTTTGCGGTGAAGACCTTTAGGGTTTAGGATTAAGGGTTTAGGATTTAGGGTTTGGGGTTACGGTCTTGAGATTTAGGGTTTAGGGTTTAGGGTTAAGGGTTTAGGGTTAAGGGTTGACGGTTTAGGGTTAAGGGTTTAGGATTTAGGACTTAGGTTTCAGGGCTGAGGGCCTCAGGCGCAGTTCGGCATGAAGAACTTCCTCGACTGTATCTGGGCGGCTATTAAATTTTTACGGGGCTTAATCTTTGCACCATAGTACGGATACATGGTGAAGTACTGAGTGATAGGCTTTAATAGGGCTTCCGCCTCCGCATGGTTATGATAACAGAGCTCAAGCTCCTAAACCCTAAGCCCTAAACCCTGAACTTTAAGCTCCTTCACAGCAACCCAGGCATCCAGGACTGCAAGAAGGTCGTGGAGCTTGATGCCCAGAACAGGGAGGCGCGAGTCCTCCTGAAGAAGGCCCATGAGGGTCAGAAGCCGGGCTGTTTTGTACCTATTGCTGGTGGGTAGTAGGGAATAAGGGAGTATCTTATAAAGGGATTTTTGCCCATTGTTCCCTGCTAACTACCAGTAAGTTTTTGGAAATGGTTTTATTTTCATGAGAGGAATAGTCACAATGATTGAGGATTGATCTTACAACCCGAAAGCCTAAAGCCTAAACCCCTAAACCTTAAACGCTATAAACCCTATAAACCCCATAAACCCTATAAACCCTACAAACCCCATAAACCTTATAAACTCCATAAACCCTATAAACCCCATAAACGCGATAAACCCTATAAGCCCTAAACCCTATAAGCCCTAAACCCCTAAGCTTAAAACCCAGGAAGGAGGAGGACAAGAAGTCCAAAGGTCTCTTCGCTACCATGCGCCGGCCTGAGTAGCGCATGTGTAGCTTTGCCTCTTCTTTGATATTTTAATAGGGTATCTGTAGAGGTTATATAGGGATAATGGAAAAGAAAGTGGAAGCTACTATTTAGGGTTTAGGGGTTCCCAAATTAGGGGTACCTTTTGGTGGGGGTCCCTAAAACAAGGACTATACTATTTGGGGTCTACATTGGAGTCCCCTTGTTTAGGGAAACTACCTCACAGGTCCCAAGTAATCTGAGAATCCTTACAGCAACTCACCCGTTGCTTCATGCCGTCTAACTAGTGGCAAGGTAGTTGGGCAGCTCATTTCACTATCTGGGTCCATGCGCGCAACCCCGCTTCTCTACTGGAACAATGTGAGCATCTATCAAAAAATGGTCCTGCTCTTCATAGTATTCTTTGCGAACACATGAAGCCTGTATCAGATGGATTACAAAATCTGGAGAAGAATTGGAGATCCCCCCCCCCATTATCCCTATATAACCCCTATATACTATAGTAGTTTCCATTTTCTTTTCCATTATCCCTATAGAACCCCTTTTTCTCTGAGTGATGGCGCAAGGTGCAAGGCATTGGGCAAGGGCCCCATCCCAGAACCGCACAAGGAGAAGAGGCGGGCAAGCTGCTTGTAAGGGCGGTCGCCAGCTCAAAATGACTTACTGAGGCTTAGTAGTAGGGAATAAGGGAATATGTAATGTAGGGTTTTTGTAGGGATTATATCCCCTTGTTGCTTGCTAACAACTATCAGACATAGTAGTGATTCTCTGGATCACCTTCATCATAGCACTGCCAGTGAAACCCTACACCCTAAACCCAGTGAGCAACCTTGCTAGAGCAAGGCAGTTTGACGACGAGGATGAGGACGTCGACATGGAGGACATGATCAGCAGTCGACATGGTAGTTTCCCTCAATGGGGGGTACCCACTACAGATCCCAACAAAATCTAACCCTTATTACCTGGACCCCCCAAATGGCAACCCCTATTTAAGCAAACCCCCCCCATCTTTTTGGGCGCGGCTTCACCTGAGAAAGTCACGGGGTCAAGGACATTTCTGGTGAAAGGGGCGGAGGCAACTGTTGCTTCCTCTACTGTGGCTGCTGTGAGATGAGATTGGTGGATATCGCCAGTGCTGCCACTGATACTGTTTGTTAATTGCTCATGTTGTTTGTGGCTTCAGCTGCTGAACCTAACTTGCGTTGGCATCACAGATTGCTCAATGATGTGCTTTTCAATCCTGATGAGTAATTTTCTGAGTTACACATCACATTCCCAGGTATAAGCCCGAATAGGGACCCTGCATTATCTTGTTATGATGCGTACATTCCACCTAAACCCTAAACCCTAAACCCCGAAAGGGGCTTTAAGCCTCTGGAAAGCACCTGCACCTCCAACTCAGCCATCTGGAGCACCCCCTGGGCCAATCCTTCTATGGTAGTACCCACCTCCCATGTGAGCTATAGTCTAAACTCCTTAAAGGCGGTTTAGGGCTTAGGGAGGGGGATACTAGGAGCTTAGACTAGAGCTCATATACCCCCCACTTTCTACATCTGGGGGTTTCCCAAGATAAGGGGGATCCGATAACAAAGCCTTATATGTGTATATATATATATATAGATATACACATCTATTGGGGTCCATATAGGGGTCCGCCTAATTTTTGGAAGCTACCATCTATGTCTATGTGGATCTTTGTCCAAAGCGACCTAGTTTCAAAGAACTCCTACATATCTCCCACCACCCTAGAGCCTAAAGCCTATCGACCATATCAACCCCATAAACCCTATAAACCCTAAACCCTAAAACCCTAAAACCCTAAACCCTAAAACCCCTCAAGCCCCAAACCCTAAAACACTAAACCCTAAACCCTGTCTCTCACACAGGAGCCGAAGGAAGGCGCAGACGCTCCCATGGCAGAAGCAGAGGGAGCTCAGGGTGGAGCGTGAAGTGTGCCAGGCTTGGTGTAGGGTTTAGAGAGGGGTTTAGGGCTTAGGGTAAGGGTTAAGGGTTTAAAATTTAGGGTTTAGGGTAAAGGGTTTAGGATTTAGGGTTTAGGGTTTAGGTTTTGGGCTTAGGGTTGGGATTTAGGGTTTAGGACTTAGGATTTTGGGTAATGGGGCCTAGGGGCCTTGTGGGTGGAGTACCTATCCAGGTTTCTGCAGGGGTGGGCGACTGTTATAGGTGGGGCCAGCATCCCCTCATATTAACCCCCATGCCCATAGCAAAAGCGCGGTGCTTCTGTGTCTACCAATGCGACAGGTCAGTTGGCGGTGGGCTCTCAATGTGCCCCCGCCTTTGCTATTTGTTCGTGCAGATTTTGCAGCTTCTAGGCGGGGGTTGAGCTGGAGTTGTTGCAAACATTGTAATCCCCGCCTGCAACAAAAGCACCCTCCTAACATCATGTAGGGAATCAGTTGTTAGTCGGTAGATGAACAAGGGTACTTAATGGGAGGAGGTGGATCGAGGGTCTCACAAGTTCCTTTGCGGTCGCTTCCAGGTGTTCCAGCTCGCCGGGCAAACTCGCTGTGCCATAAATCTGGCACCTTTCATGGACAGCCGCAGGCTGTGTACAGCCAAGAAAGACCATAGACCAGGAAACAGCGCCTGACACAAACAGGATTTTCTGACTTCTTTTTCTTGTGCCCTTGCATGTGTCAGGGAGGTTAGGCCGCATGTGTCCCAGGTCCTCTTTCCACGTTGCCATGTGGATTTGTGTTGCCACCTTGCCAGGTAGCCAGAAGGCCTGAGCTTTAAGTTTCACAGCTGTACAGCTACAGCAGGTCGAAGCACCGCATCAGAAAGAGCCTGTCCATGTGTTTTGTTCTCTTACCCTCACCAGCATCCCTCTGGCATGCCATGATGTCATGTTCTTGCAGTTGATGCGTGTAACGCAGATGTCAGGAATATCCAAGCGGAAGTTGCAAATGGACCGCTATCCCGCAAGCTACCAACATTTGCGAGGGCTGAAAGCATGCAACAAAAAGATTACAGATCCTTTTTTACATGGCACCTGGCACTGGAAGTGTGACTGGAAAAGAGGGCTCTCCATGCCTGAAAGGATCCCGCTCCGAAGTCAAAACAGGACCCCCTACGGATCTGGTTATACTGACCCATTCCAGAAGTGTGTCATGTCCCTAGAAGAAGCCGAAGGTCTGCACCTGCAATAGTCATCATGACCGCACATGGCGGCAGCATGCCCTCCCAGCTGGGACGCGAGCCACGGGCACCGCTGTCGCGCGTATGTGCGCTGGGCGCTGTGGCGTTGTCTGGCGTTTTGCTGCGATGGGGTGGTGCCTTTGTCTCACCGGCGCCGCGAAACCAGTGCATCCGGTGTGTAGAGCTCCAGGCTCGAGGTGCCCGTGGCCGAGACAACCTGGGTTTGTACGACGAGGTCATCGAAGACGACTTGGACGAGTCCTTGGACGATGAGGCCTGGGACGGGGACCTGGATGAGTTGACACTGGACGAGATCGACATGGTCGGGTCTGATTTTGACCGGAGAGGGGACGGCAGAGGGATGCAGCGTCCCGCACATCAGTGGCAGCGGACCCCTGGCGAAGAGGAGTTGGATCCAAATTTTCGACGTGAACGCTACTTCGGCAGGGCGGACTTCGACGGGAACGGCAGAGGGATGCGGCGTCCCGCACGTCAGTGGCGGGGGCCCCCTGGCGAAGAGTTGGATCCAGAGTCTCGACGCGAACGCTACTTCGATAGGCGGTTCGACCGGGACGGCAGAGGGATGCGGCGTCCCGCACGTCGGGGGCAGCGGCCCCCTGGCGAAGTGGAGTTGGACCCAAAGTTTCGACGCGAAGGCTACTTTGACAGGGCGGACCTGCCCCGGCTCGACCCGACCGAGTTTGACAAGCGCGGGGTATTGCAGACCCTCTCGGTCGAAGAGCTTGAAGCACGCACGCAATTCCGATGGGGCCTGGACTCCAAGCAGAATGACCGGCATAAGCCTGAACTTTTCGAAGAGCAGGGCGAGGAGGAACAGACAGAGTTGCGATGGGCTCCGGACCCTCGGAGGCAGTACAATCCCTTCGAGAGCCGACCGCTCCGGGGACGCATGCGAAAGCCCCGTGTGCAGGTAGAGGCTCCTGCGCCCGAGGCTCGCAGGCCCGAGGCTCGCAGGCCCGAGGCTCGCAGGCCAGAGGCTCGCAGGCCAGAGGCTCGCAGGCCAGAGGTTCAGGCTCGCAGGGCTCCAGCTCTCACTCCCACAGCTTCAAGCTTCCCACGTGTTGTGAACAAGACTACCAAGAAGGTTGCCAAGAGTCAGGGCCCCAGATCAAACATTTAAAGTTACCACGCTTGGGAGGGGGGCTCATGCTGCAAGGCCTGGACTCCTGGCTGCTCAACACCAAGGTCTGCAGGGTAAAAAGGGAAGTTCCAAAAATGGCGGGCCATGCTTGGGAGTCCCCATGACAAGGATCATAGTACGTTTGAGTACGCTTGTGGGGATTGCCCTTTTTAGACCCCCATAAACTTGCTGCTACATCCTGTATGCATTATAACTTCTCCCTGCTTTGTGCAGGTCCCCCTGAGGGAGAAGGAACAGCGCAGCGCCGAGAACTTGCAAACTCGAAGCGGGCTCGATGCTTATCTTACTGGTGGTTAGATAGTTCAATAAAGGAACATAATCCTTATCCAGTCCCTAAAATAGGTTCCCTTATTCCCCGTCAATCCCCAGTAATGATCTTTTAGACAGCTGACATGCGAAAAACTTCGAGGTTCCCATGAATAATTACCAGTGGAGTTACCTGAAGGTAGCTGAGAACTACGGTTGTCCCTACATGCTGTGATCCTTGAACTTCTGCATATACTTGTGGGGTAGGAGCACCGTGCCGCACCGGCTTAGGCAAAAGCCTGACGACCGAGTCGGATCCTCTACGTACCGCAAGATGTACAAGGCCCCTCTCTGACAAGGTCCTGAATGCAATTGGAAAGTTTTGTTTACTGCAAGCTTCAGAAGTGAAAATGCAACTTGTGCGAGGGTTCCAGGAAAGAGAGGAGAGTCTCAAGGATATTTGGCTATTGCTGTCCACCCGAATCAGTCGTGAGTTTGAGGATAGGTTTCTAATCAGGAGATGCCTGCAAACTGTTTTCTCCTTTCACTGTTGAAAAGTTGCAGGCCACTCGAATCGTACGTGGATTATCAGGTTCCTTGAAGCGTGTTTGCAACCGCATGAACCATAACTTAAACTGAACAACTCCCAAGGGCTGAAACCTTAAAGTCCCCGATTCAAACCCGCTACAAACCCCAAACCCTAAACCCTAAACCTGAAGTCTTAAACCTTAACCCCTAAACCCTGAATAGTAGTTTCAATTTTATTTTCCATTCTCCCAATATAACCCCAACATAACCCTTATAGAGCATGGGTACCTTGTCCTTTCTCAGGCCGTCCTTCGAAACTATGGATCGCTGCCTTGGGAGCGCCAAGCACCTGGTTGTTCTGAGGATGGGTTTAAGGTTTAGGGGTTTAGGATTTAGGATTTAGGATTTAGGATTCAGGGTTAAGGGTTCAGGATTTAGGGTTTAGGATTTAGGGCTTAGGGTTTAGGGTTTGGAATTCAGGGTTAAGGGTTTAG